ATGTCGGGCTGCTCGACATGAAATTGCACAAACGAAACGAGGAGCACAGAAGGTGCCGAGTTGGAATTCCTTGGCCAAACTAAATGTGAGTACTGTTTTGTCGATTTCACTGCATGGGGAACCATTTTTGTCATAAGCCATAGTAATTTGAGCTTGTTGGGGCTGGAATAGATCTAAGGCTTCAACCTCCTGGTCAGTCAGATGTGTGCAAGCGTTAAACTACACAAGCCAAAATGGCCGAAAACACTGGTTATTGAATGCCTAAGTTTCGAGTTATTTTTATGTGAAAGACTCGGTCGATGCACAAAAGTTTTGCTTCGTTGTCCCTAAAACCTGATGCTGTCCCCATATTTCGTACTAGACGCCCAGTACCCTACGCTGTAATCCAGAATGTTGATCCAGGACTAGATCGTCTGGACAGGACCGGCGTTATTCGTGAGTCAATTACTCCTCTTGGGCACCCCGATCGTGGTCAAGAAACCGGATGGGCAAATTAGGATAAGCGCTGAGTTGTCGACAGGGCTGAATGAATCACTGAACAACCACCCGAATCCCTTACCAATTCCCGATGACATATTTGTTAAGATAAACGGTGGTAAATGTTTTGCAAAACTAGATCCATCAGATGCATACTTGCAAAATGAAGCTGTTGAAACCACTAGAGTTGCTTACAAGAAACAAGCATGGAGATCCGTGTCAATATCATTCAGCGTTAAACCGCACCTATGATATGTAAACAAACTAGGGACACAATGTTAACCGATGTTGATGGCGTTGCCGGGTACTTGGACGACATCACTGTTGTCGGAATGAGCGTAGATAACCTTTCTAAAAAGCTGGATCGAATTCATGGCCGTATAAAAGAGCATGGTTTTAGGCTTCCTCCTGAGAAATGCACATTCCGCATGGACTAAATTATGTTTCTCGGTCTCACTATTGACAAAGACGGTAGAGGTCCTGCTGGGGCGAAAATCGACGTCATTAATAAAATACCCCTTCTTAAAGAAGTTTTGATGTCGAGGTTCTTTGTAAGTTTCATCAGTCACTATATTCAAAAGTGATCTACAAAGTCAAAGTGGGTGATTTAATTTAGACCAGACAAGCAAATCAGCTAAGGCCTACTATTATCTGTGATAGTGCAAATAACCAATAAATACCACTGGATCTTCTCTTGAGCAGTTTCGACATACTCCATGGAACTCTGTGCGCGTCTGATGAGTGCGCAACAGTCCCGGGAGAAATGAATTTGCAAACAATAAGCTGAAATGGTCGAATCGGGAGGACAATGTTTATGTTTACGAGCAACACGCTATACGTAGGAGAAAGATGCAGACAAACTAAAGGTAACGCAGAGTGGCGAAATATCCATGGAGTGTAACACAGCTGGTGCCAGGAGAATCGCTCAGAAAACTACCCCCATCGAGTGCAGCTGCTCCGTTATAGTCACGATCTTTAACGAATGTTCACGTATGGAATTTACCAATCATAGTGATATCGGTCTGATCTCTATCACATCTAAGTTACTTGCGTCTCGCTCTTCTTAGACTGGCTGACACCCATGAAAGCCAGACTCGCGAAGAGAAAGTCAGGTTTCGTCGGAATTGGGGCTATATTGACCACATCTGCAGGCTAAGTCGGTTGTTGGAACACCGCAAAATATGTTGGCAATCCATACTACTCGTGTTCCTGAGCATCAAGATTCTTTTAAACAATGGGGCTATTTTCTGTAACTTATATTGGCGACCCACCGCAGTCATGTTGCTCGACAACAAAGATGCCTTCGATTCGGTGAATCGATATGCCCTTTGATCAAGAAATGTGTGCCAACGGAATACGTACACCTTAACAAAAACCCTGTCTACATGTTGTTCGGACAGAATGAAGCCATTGGCCGATTGACGCCGAGCTTCAATATCTCCAGCGGTGTCAGACAAGGATGACCTATTTAACTTTGCTGTTGACCAAATCATGGGAACTGCGCTCACTAGACACGGCTTTGTAGGTGTGGAGTTGGTCCCATGGGATTGACTTATTGACTTGTAGTATGCGGATAATATCACATGAATCTGTGACAGCTCACAAACGTACTAAACAGCCCAGGATAGTTTGACACGGACTCTCTGCAGTTTTGGGCGTTGGTTTGCACCCTGGATATACAAATGTTCCCTCAAGATCGACAGGGACCACCTAATGCACTGACTCTTTGTGGGGATCAATTAGAAGTCGTTCAGCGATTCTACTACCTGGGTAGCCGTATGGGTGTCTGTGTGATTGAAGATGAGATCACGGATAGTATAACACATTTTCGAGGCGTTTTTACCTACCTTTGCCAACTGTGGCTTTGGCGCGACGTCACTTTCATCATAAGGGGTAGAGTCTGCAGCGCATCCGTCCGTTCAATCTTACCATACGGTTGTGAAACCTGGCCTAGCATAGTGGTAGACCTAAAGAGAATTGTTACGCTTGTAGTTTAGTTCATATCTGGTGGGAACACAGCGGGAGCACTGAGCGCGTTCGGCGTTTTATTAAGGACGAAGGCGGAGAAAATGAAGAGCTCAGCATCAATACTTCACGCACCATGCTCTGATGACTTGGTTATGTGTTACGCAGGCCAACACCCCGACTCCCGCGACGTGCGTTGTTTGCTCGACCGGGGTTTGGATGGAGGAAGAGAAGTCAACTAATGACGGTTAAGAGGAATGCAGTCTCTCGCTTCGAAGTTTGCCTCGGTTAGCGCTTTCCGACTCACGGGTTGTGGTCCAGTGGACGATGAACAAGTGTATTTGGGTGCACTTGTTGCAATAGCAAAGAGCCATCCTCAATGGTGCATGTGTTGCTTTTGGTTCCTCACTATCTAACCTAGATGCATTATACAAAATAAGATGTAGCATTAGTTTGATTTAATTCCGTTGTTTGAATCTTTTTATCACCCATCTGAATGGTACCGTAGGGGTGGGAGTCCATGGCTCACCGACGCTTGTGGTGAGGAGATCTTGGCAAATCATTAACCAGTTGCTGTCAGAGTTCTAACCTGCACTACACGTCTTGGACACCTCGTGGCGACCGCTTGGTGGGTTAGGTTGCACCCTACCTTTAGTTAAGAGCTAATACACATTCGAATGAGTAGATTGACTCACGGTGCATCTCCCAGTGCATTTCGAGAGTTTATTTGATAAAAGACTATGGCTAAAGACCCGATTTATTTTCCTGTCCAGGCGTTGATGCCTTGGTAGTATATCAGTATATCAGCAGTAAATATGAACTGCACAGGAATTGGTTATCCCAAGCTGTATAGGTCGTCGCGCAGTGGGGCGAATGGCTGCCTCTGTATACAGTGAGGTGGACAAGTGAAGACGTGCTATCTCTAGCGCCTCCATACTATATTCGTCCAATCCCCCTCCATATTCTCCGCTCCCAGTCCCAAGTTCACCTGATCCACCTTATTTGCTCCAAACGCAATCTCCACCTCACTCCAACTCACCACCCAAGCGACTGCCCGGCGTAATCGTATGCGTCCGCGGAAAGTGCTCAAGATCAGACGTTGGAACGTGCGTACATTGGTGGACCGGGATACAAATCAGCTCCCCAAGCGACGTAGTGCATTTGGTCACCATAAAACTCGGTCCCTGAGCATTGATAATGCTGCACTTAGTGAGACTCGATTCGCTGAGCATTCAGCTGCACGAGGATGATGCTGCCTACATGTTCTACTGGGTGGGAAACACCACCACAGCACAACGTGAACATGGGGTCGGATCTGCACTATTCAACCGCTTAGATGATAGCCGACTGGAATAAACCCAAGGTTGGTGACACTTTTCCTACGTCTCGGACGTTGTAAGTTTGAAACGTTTATTAGCATGTATAGCCTTATCAGGTGTTACCTAAATGACACAGTTGTCCTCCGCGATAGGGCCGTGCCGAGGAGCAACCGACTACTCCCACTGGGTGATGTCGACGTGCGCGTTGGGTGTAATGCTGTAGTATGGGCGGACGCAATCCGGCCGTTTGGTGTTGGCTCAAGCAATGGGAACGATGACCGGCATCCCTCAATGTGCGCTACTCACAGCCTGATGATTGCAAATACATTGTTAAAACTTGGTGCGGATGATATTGCTACTTGGACGCGCCCAAGGAATAGTCACGCTCATTTGCTCGACTATGCCATGGTAGCTAAAGTGTATCAAGGCTCTAGCTAACGTGTGGGATGGTGATAATGATGATCATAGAGGGCTATAAATTTCAGTGGACAATCAACGGATGGGAAACGGTAGAGGTGGGTCATTGCTACAACAGTGGTTAGACACGAAAAGCTCACGGAGTCAATGGTGCTTACATTCCTAACCCATGACTATTACATCATGAGAGTCTAATTCCAGTTCACTTCGTTTGATTATCGTTACGAACACCAATACTAGCATTGTTTCAGTGACGTGCAAAGGCAAGTGGATCCACCCTGCCTACATACACGAGTTAAGGTCAGTAAATTAAAATGAAATGAGTTAACATTCAATTTCTCGGATCTTTATGTTGCCATAATAACTCATACAAAAACTAGAAGTTATCTTAAACTCAGCTAGTGCAATTCATACAATTCATGGATTCGTCGAGGATTCTATCAATAATCCGAGCAGGAGGTTATCCAAAGTCATACGGTGAAGTGGATGGCTTGCAATACGATCAATGTAAGTAAAGAAGTCCGAAAAATTGTGACGTAGATATAAACCGTTTAAAAAGAAAAACTGTATCAGCGACATAAATGAAATCCAAAAGGCTAACATACGGTTATCGCTGGGGAATGCGGATGCCATACAAGTCCAAGTTCAGTGGTTGTGTGATTTGAAAAAGTCAGTGAAATTCAGGCTGAGCTCCATAAAACGGCAAATGTTCGTGGATGGTGCAAATGCGAGGCTAATACCAACATGCAACAACACAAATATATGACGAATGAAAAAGTTGTTTCCAAAACACATCTACCTGAGGTGAACTGAGAAACATACCCTATTACCAAACTTGTGCTTGATGTCTAGCATGAGGACAGCAATAATTTGCTGAAACCAACGAGTCATGGTGAGTTTGTATCCGTCGCGAGGATGGGGAAACTGGGCCACAAAAACTAGTTGATTTTCGTCCACTCCTTCGGGAATAACTTCGTCAAGATCACCGTCAGGAAGAATCTCGCCACAATTTGTACCTGAACCATTGGACTCAAAATGTCGAACATAGATCCATTTGCTGCTGTCACCGGAATAATCTACACATCTGGACATAAGAATCTGTTCAGAGCTGTTCGGTGAAGGGCTCACTAAACCACCAATGACGAAGAACGAAACCAATGCTATGAACATAAGTGTTCCAAACGCCGAGAGCTTCCATACATTCAGAGTTTCCAAAACTACGCCAGCCATTCTACACAAAAAGAGAGGAAAAATTCAGAAATGGTTAGGGTTGATAATCGCAAAGTGAAGTAATTAACTCATGGCGTATTTCCCGCTGCCTTTCTGGAATAAATTTTACCACAGGCTTAGGCTGAGGACCCGAGTCATCTGTCAGTCCAAATGTGAACGCACTGGCAGTATATAATCAGCATTCTACACATAAGCTAGAGGTGAAAAACGCATCGGATACTGTGTCGCTATAGAATCAAGCGACAGTAATTAATAAAATAAACAAATCCAAGTAAAAGAAAACGAAGGTAAAATGACGCCGTTTTATGGTATGTATCGATTGTGGTAACGTAGTTGGAGGACGGGAGATGATAAAGGAACCCACAACACAAATGACGCCGTGGTCAGCTCAAAGCCAAGTTAAGAGTGCATCCACATAAAAGAGTCGGTAAGCGCCAACCGAGGTCAACTTCAATCCTCTAAGCCAAATCATTAGTTGGCCTGCCCGGTGGAGCAAACAACGCATGTCGCGAGAGTCGGGGGTGCTGGCATGCGTAACACATAACTGAGCCATCAGATCCTGGTGCGTGAAGTAATGATGCTGATGCTGAACAAGCTACTACGCAGTGCTACCATTTCAGATATTATAGTACTTGCAGATGATATGAACGCACAAGTAGGGCGTCTGAGCTCTTCAGAAGCTCAGCTGAGTGGTAACTATGGGCTTCAATCCGAACGGATTGACAACCGTGAGTGTTTCCTGCAACTGTGTGCAGAGCACCTGCTATTACTTAGTAGCACTGCTTTTAAACACAGTGGGCGCCGAAGTGCCACTCGGCGTCCTTCTGTAGAGCTGAACAGCGATGCACCCAAATAGATCACATTGCCATAAGTTACAGGTGCCGTGGTTCCATCCAAAATTGCCGCTCGTACTGGAGTACCTGCATCGACTCTGATCAAGCCTTGGTACGTTGTCGTTTCTCCATGAACTTTACCGGGAGGTGCACCAAGCGTCTCCTCCTATTGGCAACTGATAAATTGTCTCAGCCCTCGGTCAGGCAAGCCTATCAAGACGCACTGCATACCGAACTGTCGCACCCTCTTACTAATGACACTGAGCTTCAGTGGAATAAGATCTCGGCCGTCATGCACGACGCAGGAGCATATGCTTGTGGCACTATTTCATCGTCACCGCACCAGCCACTGGATATCCGAGAGGTCGGTGAACCTGTTGGAATCTAGAAGAAACCTCCCGGTTGGCTCTGAGCACAATGTGATCAGAGGTACTATTAGGCACGAACTAAAGCGGAGCCTGAGCGCTAACAAGGGAGTTTAGTGAACCAGTCGGGCTCAAGAAATGGAGGAGGCAGGAGCAGTAGGGAACTATCGCAAACTATTAAGGCTGATTCGCGCCACTGGTTCCAGAAAACCAGGCGTCAGCGAGACAATCAGAGACAGCGCGGGTGCACTGATACACAATAAGGAGTGCCGTATGGCTCATTGGGCGGAACGCTCGCAAGATCAATCCCGTTGGCTCCATGCTCCCGGACCAATTCCTACTCAAGTGATGAAGGACGAGCCATGGACGGTTAGTTAGAGCCTCCGTCGGAAGTCGAGTTCCGAAACGCGATCACAGCCCTCAACCGTTTTCGTGACGCTGGCCCGGATTCACTCCCACCTGCACTATTTAAGGATGGAGGTGAGGTCTTCTGCAAAGCACTGACCTCCCGATTCGAACATATCTGGAAGGAGGAAACTGTCCAGGCTAACTGGAGTGAATCGATCATAGTGGCGATATACAAGAAGGGCCGTCGCACACTGTGCTAACCACAGGGGTATTAGCCTAACCCCAGTTGTGACAAAATTACTGGCCTCGATTCTCGTTCGTCGTCTCAATGCAGAACGGGAATGCCGGATTAGGGAAGAGCAGGCAGGTTTCCACCCAGGACAGGGCTGTATGGACCACATATTCATTTTGCGACAGGTGCTAGAGCAGAGCCACGCACACCGCAAACCGACAACAGTTGTGTTCAACGATTTCAAGAGTGCGTTCGATTCAGTCGATCGATGCATTCTGTTCGCAATACTTACGCGTAAAGGTGTTCCCACGAAATATGCGAACATCCTTCGTGCCCCATAGTCGAACACTACAGGTCGCGTCAGGGTCTACCGTGACCTGTCGGATAGCTTTCCGACCACAAATGGCGTTCGTCAGGGTTGTCCGATTTCCCCATTTCTGTTATGTTAACATGATCATGCCTGTAAATGTGTGTATCGCCTTGTCAAGAATAACAACGTTAGTTGTTTATTTATTTAGAAGACCCAGCTGCGTTTGACAGCAGGAGTGATCGTCTTGCTTTTACGTCCGCTACGTGCCATGGTCGCCGACGATGAAGCAGATGAGTCTCTACAACGACTGATGCTTACAGTTGCCGAGCTGGACACGGCAACTGGCGAGAGAGGGTCAGCCTATGTTTTTCATGCGTGCGCCACAGGACTGAGCGGGGTGGAACAGATCCCGACATTCTTACCCACATCAATCGCTTGGCATGCGTCACAAATGAAAAAGACTACGGAGGAGGTCCGTCGGAGAAGTTCATACAAATTAGCTTCGATACTGCAACAGGCAATATGCAACCAGCCATTGCAGGTGTTGCATTGCATGGTCTTTGAGCCGGTGGTGACCGCGATGCGGCAATCTAAGTAATCTGATGTCATTCTTAGGTGTAGAAAGCAGAAGAGTAAATCCTTTGTCAGCTCCATCGCTTCCCGATCAGTGTGGAGGTCGCGATTCGTTGCAAAGCGCTATTCCACAAGGGACCGTGACAGCTACAGTGGAAGCTGCAAGCGTCCGTCGTACTCAAAAAGTAAGAATCCAACATTCCTCGGTCTGGGCATCGACCATATACTCCGGTAAGTCGTTCCAATTGTTGACTAAGCTAGTAGATAGAGCGAGAGCAGGACGAACCCATAGCATTCTGGGTTTAAACAGTTTCCAGTTGCGGCCTCGAGTTGAACTGTTTGCATTAAATTGAAAGAACGCTTGCAGCTCCGTCCCCATCTCTCCTCTCAGGATGCGCCTAGTGAAAATCAAGTCACCGCGAAGTCGACGATAATGCAGGGAGAATAGGTTCATCCGCTGAAGTCGCAGGGGATAAAGCAAGTCCCGCAACTCCAAGATGTACTTCGATCCCCGCCGTTGGGCCTTCCCAATGAAACGACATTCGAAGTTGGTGAGAGGGAAAACGGCAGGTAATCCGTATTTAAGAATGGGGCGCACATGGGAAGTAAAGAAGGGTCTGAAAGTATCCGGAGTCAAACGCGAGAAGGCTCTTCGTATGGCATGGAACATCCTTCTGGCAGCAGTAACCCTTCGTAACGTGTCCTGCGTAGTCCATGGATCAGATGACACTAACACACCGAGGTCATTTTCGAGGATCAAGGTTCTGAGCAACGCCCCGTCAGTGTGGTACATCCCGAAAGGCTCAAGAGCACCAATGAGGAGGACCGAGCACTAATCGCGATGTATGGGCAATCCCCATTTGACGGACCACTCATGTAACATATCAAGTGTAACCTGTAATCTGTTGGCATCGTCAAGACAGGATACCTCCATCCACAGCTTCAAGTAGTCAGCGTAAATCAAGCACTCCGACTGGAGTTCCGATGGGAGGTCATTGATGAAAATCTTTAAAAATTCTGGGCCAAGGACCGATCTATGCGGGACATCGCCAGTCATGAGCACAGGAGCGTTCACGTTGACTCGCACCGTGCGGTCATCCAAAAAATCAGCGATCCAAGAGAGAGTGTTACAAGAAACATCGATTCCTCGTAGTTTATAAAGGAGTCTTTCATGAGGAACTTGTCAAAGGCCTTGCTGAAATCGACAAAAACAACATCCAGGCGTTTTTCAGCCTCTAATACCTTAACCAACATTTACGAGAATCAAGCAGATTCGAAGAACATGAGCGTGCCCGCCGGAAACCCTGCTGCGCACAAGAGATGATGCTTAGGTTTTCGAGGTGGAGAAGAAGTGACCGCCTGAGAATGCTCTCCATTACTTTGCACAATATTGACGTTAAGCAGATGGGTCCATAATCGCCAGGATGTTGACGATCTCCTTTGTGCATGGGTTTAACAAGTTCCACTTTCTAAGCAATCAAGAGCCGTCCAACTTCAAAGGAATGGCGAAATACCCTACAAACAGGAGCGGCAACATAAGCGGCCAGTCTTGAGGAACAGCGGGTGCAACTCATCAGGACCCGGCGAGGAGTTCGGATCTAATTCACGAATGCCTCTGGCAACAACATCAGGGCTCATTTCCATGTGCACAAACGAAGAGGGGTGCATTGGCGCCGCGCCACTGTGTAACGGCGTCTCCATCGAGTAAACAGATGAATATTGCATGGCCAGGAGAATGGCTTTCGCAGCGTCATCGTCAAGTAAACCAACATGCGCCAAGGAATACAGGGCAGGAATACTGTAGTGACCTGGAGATTGACCTTTTTGTCTGCGAAAAATAATATTCAAATACAATATCATTATGTACATAGACAGCTTAGAAGGCTTGCCTGTTCGCGCGATGACTATGTGTGTTTGAGTCACACAGACGAATGGCACTCGCGCGTTTCCGGCTTTTCCGCCTCGAAGAGCGTTTGCTGCGTCTCGGCTGGTGACTATATCTTTCCCTTGAGTGTTCCTTCTTGAGAGGATCGTTGAGCCAGGAAATGATGACGTGCCAGGAGGTCATGATAGATCTAAAACATAACACCCGAAACTCCCTGGTCAACCAGGTTCCCTGCACTAGTAGTCCCCGCTGTGTAAGTCACGTGAAGCAAGAAAGAAGCAGAAAGTACATGGAAGATAAAGGGGAATGGAAGTCATTTAAATGAAGGATAACACCAAAGAGTGATGAGAATGACGAAGTATGAACTAAAAGTTGGAAGATGGATATGGTCAGGAGAAGGGAAAGATCTCGTGTTGCCACCCAAGATCGTCTAACTGACGCTCGAAACCCTAAACCG